TCAGCCGCTGCCCCCACCACCATCCCGGTCCCCCCTTCCCCTCCTGCTCCCCCGGAATTCCTCTTCACAAACACAGAGTTCCCCAAATAGCCCTAGTGCGTGGAAGATGCCCAGAGGAGAGGAGTTTATCCAGCACCATACCCTTGTGTGCACTCCCCTCTCCACCCTTGCGAGGCCCCCAAGGATTGGGAGGAAGAGAAGGAAGACCGAGAAACAGGAGTGGGGACGGAAACCCAGTGGGGCCTCGTGACTTGCTGAGTGTCTCAACAGGCAGTGTTGTCACAGCCCATCAGGTCTGCTTCCCCCTGCAGCTGTCGAGCGTTGCTCTTTACGGAGCCCCTTTCACATTGCAACTCGGCCCTTCTGGAAGCCAGGCTCAGGGATTTTCATGCCATCTGCCGCCTCCCTCGGGCTTAGCAGAGAAGGGTCCGCCTCTTGGTGCCTGCCCCTCCCTGCGGCCGTGCTCCCGGGCAAGGCCCCCTCCTCGCGTGGCTCCAAATGCTCTGCTTTCCTTTGCAGGAGGAAGGCCGACCTCGGACCCCTCCAGGTAAGACCCGGGCTATGATCTCGTGTGCTCCGGGAGATGCCCACAGGGGATAAAAGTTGACCTGGGTCTGGTGACCGCTGAGGACGCAGACAGGTTGTGCCGTCTGCACACTGTGGTCTCCCTTGGCGTAGGTCAAGGCAATTCCCAGGTAGCAGCTCACTGCCACCTTAGCTACCTGGGCCTCCATGCGCCAAGGGCCAGTTCTTTTTTATTTATTAACTTGCACCCTGCACCACTGTTGCCTTGGCTGTCTGCGTGACCGCTGTAAACACTGGATCCATCCGTGCCCGAAGCTAATCTTAGCTCAGCCGGCCTGGAAATCTCTGAATGTGAGCAACCTAACCCACGCCTGCCGTGGGGACAGCCGAGGAGATGGAGCCGCGCGACTTGGCCGTCCAGAGAGGCGGTCCGCCAGCCAGACGCGGTGCCGGTGAAGAAGCTTTGCCGTCTTGGATCCCAGCGGCTGACCTCGGGAGGCACGCCACAGCTCAAAACCCTCTCCGGGCAAGCCCGTGGCAGCAGCATCCTGACCATGCGGGTTCCTCTGAGCGCTCACCATGACTGATCCCTCTGAGATGCGGATCTCTCTGAGAGGGGAGGCTTTGGAGCCAGGTTCTAGTTTGCCGTGTCTAGTTACACGGTCTTGAGCGAGTCACTTTCTCTCTCAGAACCACCGTTTTCTCCATCGATAAGAGAAGGATGATAATAGAATCGCCCTGATACTGTCACAAGCATTAGCACAGTGCCTGGTGGTGTCACGTGCCCACCACGTCCGGGAACATGTTGCGATTTGTAACGTACTCGTTCATAGCAGCACACCACCCGGGACGCGTTCGTCTGTGTCTCCGGGCTTGGCAGCCACCTCGCGCAAAGACCTGCCAACGGGGCACGATTATTACGTTGGCTCCTTCATCGGGGCTCCCGGGAGACACGGCTGTTTCTGTCCCACAGGAGCCCTGCAGACTCCGACGTCCGAGAGCCCGTCTACCACAATGCACCAGCCTGGCTGGAACTGCAGCCAGTATACAGCAATGGTGAGGAGCAAGGTGCCCCTGTTTGGGCAGCGAGCCGGGGCTGGTCCGGCAGGGGTGGGGCAG